TTCTTCTGTGAGATCAGTGATGAATTGACTATTAGCACGCAGGCATTTTATCTCCCAGGCACCCAGAGCCTGAGAAGATGCTAACGGGCTGCTTGATTTAAGGAGCTTTTTTGAATGTGAGACGTAAATCTCAGCACAAGAATGCACACAGTATTGAACTGTGCCCAGAGACCAGGGCGAGAGCCTGCAGCTCCCTCTTCTTAATGAACTGCCACAAAAAACTGGGATGGGTGGAAGGCGAAAGGTACTTCATTTTACTGAGCTTTTCATTACAAGGGAAGAACGGAAAAAAAGCCCTGAGAAGGAATCAGGCATTATGAACAACAACAAGAGCACCAAAACCTCAAAGCACAAAGCAGCCCTTCTATATACATATGAATGGAAAGAGGGAGTAGAAAGGAATCATGGTTTAGTGAAAGAAATTGCTCAGGTATAGCTCTGGTGCTTGGAAATGCTTGTTTTTCAACAGCGTGTCAGTGGGGATTTATAGGCTGACGCTCAGCTGATGTAAATCAGTGTTGTTCCTTCACCACGGCTGATTTATGGTACCTGAAGATCTGGCCCCATATTTTCTTTTGTGGGCATGTTTGCCAAAGGACAATTTTCCATCACTTCTCTTTTGCTTGTAAATGAAACCATAGGCTGAAAACAACAAACCATGTTGTCTTGAATCCTCAGATGTACTTGTTCTGTGAAAAATCCCTATGATGAATAGCAAAGCTGTGGCCTTCTAGCCAACTTCGCTTTTCCAGGTGAAGGTGATATTTACCCAGAGGGGAATTTGCTCCCAAGGGCCTGATTCTGATGTCTTCTATGTTAGGAATATGCAGCAGCATGAAGCACCCACAGACCGGTGTGGTTTAGACTTCTCAAAGGAACAGGAAATGTAGGATCTCAGCAGGTTTTCCCATCCGTGGTTTGATCAATGCTGTTTGGCATTGGGCTACCAGGTTATGTGGAAACATGAGACAGGTCTCTTATACCAAGGAACAGTTTGATTTATAGGTGATTCTTACCTTTATACCAACTGCTTAGAATCACAGAATCATAGAATAGTTTGGGTTGGAAGGGAGGCCTTTAAAGGTCATCTAGTCCAATCCCTCTGCCATGATCCCACCTTCAACTAGACCAGGTTGCTCAGAGCTGGCCTTGGATGTTTCCAGGGATGGGGCATCCACCACTTCTCTGGGCAACCTGTGCCAGTGTTTCACCACTCTCACTGTAAAAAAGTTCTTTCTTATATCTAAGTCTGAATCACTGCTCTATTAGTTTAAAACCATTAGTTTAAGTAGAAACATGAGACAGGGCTCTTATACCAAGGACCAGTTTGGCTCTTAGGTAGTGCTTACATTTACACCAACTTCTTAAGACTCAGAAAAATGCATGCAAACAAATGAGTATAAAGTCACCTTAGTCAGAAAGCCAAGTATGCTTCTTTTGTGACCAGAGGGAAGAAATTAATGAACAGAAAGACCTGATGCCTTGGAGGGTGGGGAGGGATGGGGCCTGCAGGAAGGGAACCTGCATCCTCAGCTTTTAGACCTGTTTCTAGAAGGATAGATTACAGGCTAGAGAACCTCAAAAAAGAATAAATCCAACTGCATATAAAATGCCACTAGGAAACACATATAAATAAGAGCAGAAAAAGCTATGTTTTACCTGCAGTTGTACATTCTCATGACTCTGCTCACAACCCAAGGCACTGAAATACAAACCCAAGGGCTTCCTTTAAACACCAAAGGCACGTGAGTAGTGCCCCTCTCCTACCACTCCAGTCCTCCACTACCCCCAGGGCTCAAATATCGGGCACGCTGAAATTCAGGAGCAGCGAAGCTGAAGTCAAAAAAAAGGAAGAAGCTGCCTGTAAGGTCTGGGGGGAAAAAAAAAAGAGAAAAGATTATGAGCAATTACACATTTACAATGGCAGTTGAAGAAGCTAATATATCTCCTGCTGAAGTGGGCAGCATGAGAGTTGTGCAAGATGAGATAAGCAGCAGAAATGTATGTTTCTTAGTTAAACTAAAAGCTTAGAGGGTACAATAAAACACTGCAGTTCCACCCAGGTTTTAATGAATGGATTTTCCCCTTTTGCACACTGACATACATTTGATATAGTTATTTATCCTATATATTTCTCGCGGCATATTTCCCAGGAGACCTTGTTTATCTCGCTCATAAGTACATGATGGATGTATGGCGCTTTGGATAAATGGTATCACAATCAGATATTTTTATGGATATAGGCAAACTGGGTTATTAACAAAGGAAGGGCAGAGAGGAACCAGCACGCAAAAGAAAATAGCAAATGATTGATGACAATACACCTGAGGTTGCAAGGTGCAGGCTCCAGATAACCAGCTAACAGAAGAGGAGATAAGGGCAGTGCTTGAGACAGAGCTGTTTTCTACCTCGGGGTCAATGTCACGTCGACTGCCCCAACGCCTCCATCCCTCTGAGCCTGTGATTTTAGAGCAGGCAAAAATTCCTCAGCAGAAGCAGCTCAAAAATTATTGCTTTTCTTTTTATACAGTGGAATGCACAGGCACAGGAAGACACAAAACATGTAATCCCATGCCAAAAACCTGAAACAAAAGATATTCCAGATTCTGGCAAGTTTGGTAAGGGACTGGTACTTGTGGTGCTGCTCTATCATGCCCAACACAGTGGGATTCATGGTGCTGCATTAAAAATAAGTAAAAATATGTGTTCATAATCATAATAATTACTGTAGTCATCTCTAGTTTTGTTGATTTACAGAAGCAGGGTGGTATTAAAATGGTATATAAAAGGAAGATTAATCTGTAGGCATAATTTGACCTGAAATCAGGCAGTTGTGTTGAGTTCTCACTAGGCTCTTCAGCCATCAGAGTGAAACAAAGAAATTCTGGGGACTGTTAACACCTCTGCATGAACTTTCCAAGTTGCTTTCCACTAAATCGATCTGGAAGGGAACCTGGGGAGGAACAATATATATATTGTTTTATATATATATATATATATCCACAAGAAACAGGAGCATGGTAAAGTGATTTAGCAATACTATGGCTACCAAAGGGTTTGTAAGTCCCCAGTTGCAGTGTGGATCACATTCCAGCCTCACAGGTAAACACAAAATGTGTACATGATATGACACAACAGGGAGCAAGGGAATCTCGGCTGGAAAGCAGTCTGGTTTAACCACACCTGATGGAGATGTTTAGGGTAGCAAGAATCAAGTCGGTTTTGTCCTGGGAAAGCTGAATGTGACAACTACAACTTACCTGAAATACCCTTTTGGGAGTTTCCAAAGCCATGTTGCCTGGATCCAGCAACATCACAGCAGCAATGTCTTCAGGCAGGGAGATGCAAAAAAAATACAGCTTCTTCATGTTTACCCTCTCTTTTTTCTCAAGCAAACTACTTGTGAAAATATAATACGGGATGTAGTAGAGCCCACTGAGACAAGTATCTTAACCAGAGAAATGGGCTAGAGCAGCACAGCCAGCACTGAACACACACACAGCCTGCCTTCCCGAGTTCTCACATGTGGGTTATTAATCTAAACTTACACAGAAAGTGGAAGTTAGAAACACCAGTAAAAGATAGTACCAAAATTTAATGCGAACCAAAATGAAACGATAAAAGCTTCAGCATAGTATTTTTTATTACCCTCCAGGTTATAATAAATCATTAGTTAGTTGAATCAAAGCACAAAATCACAAGGACAAGATAAAGTTATGTCCTTTATGGGAGCTTCTAAGCCTGCAGGCTGCATATTCAACCACTGTTGAACTCATACTTCAGTTAGACTACCTTGCTGATCTTGACGACTGTCAAATCTCTCCTCTCTTTCTCCAAAAAAACTCCCAAATATACAAACCCAGGCACTGCCACTTCAAAAACTCTGGGCTTTTCTGATTTGGGAAGAACAGTTCCAATCCAGGTTGCTACACTTGGCTCTGCTTGCCACAGCCATGGATAGAGGCACCACCACTATGTGTTTAATCGGCTTGATGATCAGGGAAGGTGGTTAAATTTACAAAACCCACTTGACTCATTTGAGAAATTTCCTTTGTGAGATTACATTGATCATTCTCAAGAAGGGCAGGCAATGACACTGAAGTACCTGTACTTACAGGCACCCAGGAACCATGCTCAGGGTCCTCAGCTGCAGAGCTTCTCGTGTGCCTTCAAAAACTTGGAGGAATGTCATCCTTCACACAAGCAGTGACCTCTTTGACCATGACCCAAAATTAATCTTCTGGCAAATTTCTATCACACAAAAGATATCACAGCTGCACAGCGGAAAAGGGAAATGTTTTGGGTTGGCAGCTAAATTGTGAAGCCCATAATGAGTATAGAGCACTCATCTTTTACATATGCAATGTGCTCTGCCTTTCTTAAAGCTGTCACAGAAACCTTGTCGATAAGTGTGGAGGCGGCATGAGGGCTACAACTAAATGCATGTTCCATTGTTCAGATGTCAGAGAGCCTGAGCTGTTCTTATAGGAATTACATTTAGACAACATCAGTCTGAAAGGGGAGAAACTGGGAATACCAACCCACCATCACCAGCACTGCTAAAAACCCTCAGAAGAGTGTTTGACCTTGCGGATGTTAGAAGACTCACAATACTTATGAACAACTTTGCACTGATGGAATTGCTTTTTGGAGCAAAGCTGTTGTTGGTTATTTACAGCAGGCCCAGCCAAATGTCTTTGGAAAAATCATTAACCACCAACAAAGCTGTAAGAAGCAAGTCCCCGGAATGATCCAGGCTCAGGTTGGTCATGACATGGTGCACAATATTCTAAGTTCCTCTGTTGTTACATCTGCATTATGATGCACAGCTCCAGGGACAGTAATAAAGGGCAAATCATTTGCTTTGGCTCTTCATTAGCAAACTCTCTTCAAGTCAGATGTCCTACCCTGAGTGGACTAGCAGTGTAGCTACTGAAATACAGACTTCGATGGGATCAAACAGATGAAACAGAGCCTGCCTGGGACAGAGGCAGCTACTACAGGTAGAACACCTCAGGGAATATACAACCAATTGCTCCAAAAAGTTCAATTTATCCCAGAGAAGTTGTGGCTGCCCTATCTCTGGAAGTGTTCAAGGCCAGGTTGGATGGGGCTTGGAGCAACATAGGATAGTGGAAAGTGTCCCTGCCCATGGCAGAGGCGTTGGAAGGAGATGATCTTTAAGGTTCCTTTCAACCCAAACCCTTCTGTGACTGTATGATTATGCTGGTGCTCATCCTGCTCCAGCTGAGGGTCCTGGCATCCTGGAGTGACATCCCTAGTCAAGGTACAGCCTCTCCATCAAGTGTAGCCATCTCTCCTGCTCTCCAATATCCCCAAGCAGCAGAAGCAGCAGCAGCTGCTTTTCAGTTCCTCATCCATCCCAGCTGCATCCCGCTGTCCTTCCCTCCCCTTCCCAAGGAACCAGAGCATTGATGTATCTGAGCATACCAGGGTACATCTGATATTTGGTGTATCTCTTCTACCTCAGAAAGGACAGGAGGAGGCTCATCTCCTACTGTGGTAGGAGAAAAACTACTGTATAGTCTCACAAGGCTTTGGTGTCACCATTTGGTTTCCACTCCTTAAAGATGATTTCTCATACGACAGACAATTTAAGTTAAATACAATAAATTGGGCAACTGGGGTAGTGAGGCACAGAGGCTTTAAATGTCACATTAGATACTGTTGTGCTCATTGAGATTTGGACTTTAACATGCTGTATTTTGCTCCACATGACACAGCTGTCTTCACAGAAGCTGCATATTAGCGCACATTCTGCCGCGCCTCAGATCAAACAGTCTTTTCTTATCTCAAAGGAACCTTCGAAAACAAGACAGTACAATTTTAAATCATGCAGCTTCCAATTACAGCAGGAGATAAAGCTTGTCTCAGTTAGCCCATTGCAATAAAGACAGGAAAAAAGCAAAATATTAAGGTCAGTAAGCACATTCAATCCCACAGGACAATTGCAAGGCATGTCCAAAGGTGTGATTCATAACACACTCTCAGCTCCCAGTGTCTTAAAATGTTTCTGACTTCAGTATACACTTGGATGAGACCCATGAGCAGAGAGAGGCCAACTCAGAAAGCCAGTCAGGTGACATCTTCCCAACCAGTTTTCCAAACGCCCATCACTTTTTTTGTAAGTTCCTAATGATTCCCTCTAGCAATTAACTGTCTCCAAGTCTGACCCTGAGCACGATGAACCACCATTCTGTGGGGCAGGGTTGTTGCACTGTCGTCTTCTTGTTCTTTGACCTCCTGAACATGGAGACCAGCTGGCCCAGCAGCCCCAGTTTCCACTAATAGCAGCATCTGGAAAAAAAACCCAAAGCAGGAAATGATTGTCAGAGTAAGGCAGGTCTTTCCATGGGAAGAGCTGTCAGCTTCCATGAATCACATTTGAATACAAACAGTTCTGCCCCTGTCTAACAATATACTGGAGTCATTAACAATGAGTGATTGCTTTAAAGATGTTAATTCTTTGTTCAACATTTCTGGTGTTTATTCAAACTACACTTTAAGAAGACAAAAGGTTAAAGAGGACAAAAAAGGTTAATTAGATTTATATTTTCTTGTAGGATGTTTCTGTCTCTGACTTAGTCCAAGCCTAGATAAGAAACACACCAAGTAAACTTTTCTCAGCCACGTTTTGAGGTGGGAGGGGCAGTGTTAGCACTTCAATGAACAACAGCTTGACTATTCATCTTTCTCTCCATTGCTTTTCCTATTACACTGATTCTTCTGGACCCTGAGCATGTGAGTGACATAAATTCAAAATCCTGAGAATTATGGAGGCAACAGATAAAAGGAGGAAAGGGGCGTGAGAAAGGAAGTTCCATGTTGACAAGTGGATGGATGTGAGTCTTTGGGAGGGTTGGATGTGACTGCACGTGTGATAAGCAGACTGAAATAAGGTGTTACTCTACAGTTTAAGGCTCCACGGACTTTTCTAGAAACACCTATAAAATTGACCCCCTGCTTGGTGAAAGCTTGGCTTAAAATGCATTTCAGCCTAGCTTAGTTAGGACACAGCCATACAGAATGAGTACTGGATAAGACTGTAAACAAAGCAGTGATAAATGCACTGCATCAGACTGGTGCCAGAGCTCTGGGTGCCTGGGATCTGGTATTATTTAGCAAATAAATTAATGAGCTGGAAGAAGTAAACAAAATGATTAAATTCACAGATCATCCTAAACTAGAAGGAGTTAAAAACATCAGTCTGGAGACAGCAGCAATATCAAGTGACCAAGAAGCATTAGTAAACGCTTCAAAACAACATAATAAGATTTTAAGATTAAAATGCATGGTAGCATATCTGGGGGACAACAGTTTGCAACATGCTGGCTTATTCAAAGGGAAAAACTTAGGAAACAGAGCTGTTGGAGGAGACTTGAGGCTTGTCATGGATTGTCAATTAGGCAGAAGTTCATATTTTTGATACAATTGCAAGGCACGTACATGCAGCTTTGAACAGCAAAAATAAACTCTCCTCCTCGAGAGTGCAAAGAAATTCAGAACAGGGTGGGGAAAGTATATCTGTCACCTTTGCAGATGTCAGCTAAGCCCTGGTGCACTGGGCTGGGCAGACTGGGGACAGCCAGTGCTGGGCATCACTCCCCATCCATCAGCTACACTCCTAATGCAGCTGGGACTGTCTCCTCAGACCTGGGGTCCCTCTCACCTTTTCTCTTGCTGATCTCACAAGCGACGCCGCTGTAGCCAAGGAGACATAAGCATTCACATTCTGTTCCTAAAAGTAAGCAGAGACGGTGGGAATTAGAGACTTCAAGTCACATTTCCCAGCAGACGCTCATTTCTTTTCAGCACTTCATAGTCTGTGAGGAAGGGACAGTGGGTGAAATGCCATCATTTTTCTGCAATGTCGAAAGGATGAAATAGCAATAAAGAGGGGAGCCGTCACTACCCTGCCACCCCTCTTGCCTCCCCAGCCATTTGTTCCTGCCACTGCACTGTAGCTCAACCTCCAACACACTGGAGCAGTAATTCTTCACACCAGGGGTCCACACAGTCCCCCTGTTCCTCTCCAAAAGAGATCACAGAATCACATAATGGTTTGGGTTGGAAGGGACCTTAAAGATCATCTCGTTCCAACCCCCCCACCATGAGCAGGGACAGCTTCCACTATCCCAGGTTGCTCCAAGCCCTGTCCAACCTGGCCTTGAACACTTACAGGGGTGGGGCAGCCACAGCTTCTCTGGGCAACCTGTGCCAGGGCCTCACAACCCTCACTGGGAAAAATTTCTTCCAAATGTCAAATCTAACCCTGCCCTCTTTCAATTTAAAGCCATTTCCCCTTGTTCTGTCACTCCAGGCCCTTGTCCAAAGTCCCTCTCCTGCTCTCTTGGAGCCCCTTTAGGTGCTGAAAGGTGCTCCAAGTTCTCTCTGGAGCCTTCCCCTCTCCAGGCTGAACAATCCCAGCTCTCCCAACCTGTCTCCATAGCAGAGGGGCTCCAGCTCTCAAAGCATCTTTATGGCCTCCTCTGGTCTCCCACCAGCAGCTCCATGTCCTTCTTATGTTGGGGGTCCCTGAGCTGGACACAGCACTGCAGGTGGGGTCTCTAGAGAGAGCTCTTGGTAAAGCTGAGAGGGAGCAAACTGCAGCATCAGAAACGAGTACCTGGGACAGGAGTATCCCAGCTTGGCTTTGTGGCAGAGGAAAAGCCCACATATCCCTGCTGTGGCTGCCCAGGACTGCGATGTGCATCCCATGTCAGGAACCCAGAGGAGAACTCCCACTTAAGAAAATAAATGGTCATTTAAAACCTCTTGTTGAGAAGATCCTAAATGAAACGCTAACCTGACTCAGCTCCTAAAAAGTTATTTAAACAAGGGTCATCATGAGACAAATCCTTGAAGTGCTATAATCAACTAGGTGGTACCTGAAGTGATCGTTTCTGCACTAGATACAATTTGATGATAATGATTCTCATCAGGAATTTTGCAGATGCAGATTGGAATTAGGCACTTGACAAAATGGTCCCTTTGTTAGAAGCTCTCATCACATCATCTATGTCTGTTTAGGCAGAGCAGTTTTCATTGAATTTGATTATTTTTCCCCTTCATTTTTAAATCACAGCCTGCTTACAAAAGAGGACAGCTTCTATCAGAAACAGGGGGAGGTGGTGGTGATCACTGTACTTGGCACTTATATGGTGCTTTTCATCTTCAAAACACTTTTACAAACACTAATTAATGCTGAGACAGTAGTCACTTCTCCAGGAGGATGGAAGCAATCTTAAAAGCAAGGGAGGAGACTTAAAGATGTCAAAGGCTTTTTTTAAACGCATAATTGAGAAGGAACAAATTCTTCCATAAAAGTGATACAAATGGTCACTCCTATTAAAAAGACACATCCCCTGACTTTACTGTCTTTACTCACCAGGACTCTACAAACAGACCAACTTTAAAAAAATAAAGTAATTACCTGATAAAGAAATGACAGGGGAAACTAAAGAGCCAACCTTCCTCGCTCTCCACAAATTCCCAATGATTTCTCTTAAGAGGGTAAAAAAGAGGTTCAAAATCCTTGTACCTCGCAGGAAGGGGGTGCCATTGCCCCGGCACGGAGCACAGCGACAGGAACTGGTCTCCAGCTGAAACTCATCCAGAGCCCGTCGCAGATTCTCTTTTATTGTGATTGCACTGGCAAAGTCATTTGGAGTCACCAGCTGATACAGCGGCTCTGCCTAAAGGGAGGCAAGAAACTGCATTAATTTCCAAGTTCAAGATGCTGTGAACATCACAAAGCTCGGTGGTGGCACAGCTGGAGAGGGAAATGAAGGCTGTGTGGTACAGGCTCCAGGTTTCCCATTACTATTTACTTAAACCTTGTGAACAACAAAGCCACAATGTCAGGAGTACTCAGAAGGATGCTCCCCTTGGTTTCCAACACCAAAGCAGCTGGAAATGTGTGAAAAATACAACAGCCAAACTGTTAGTTAACAAACAAGCAAAGTTTCACAGGAGTTCCATTAAATCCTTTCTCATCCATTTTCCTGATAAAGATATTTTTAGATGAGATTTGCTCAAACTTACACTTTCTGAGTGATCTCTTACTCTGGTCTAATAAATGTCCCCGAACACCCATCCACAAAAATCTCCTCCATTCCCTCCACAGCCCCCCAACGCTGCCAGAGGCATCAGCCACAGACATTTACATCAGCACCTTCACCTTCACCACTTCTGCATTTCAAGACTGATTTCTATCTTTATGGAGCCAAGATAAGAGTTTCCACTGCCTTCTAGAAGGGAGAGGATTTGATCTCCATCTGCGGATTGGGTTGGTGGGAGAAGACGAGGGGATGCACAACATGGTGAACATGCAAAAGGGGATCAAGGAGACTTTGGTTCACTCATTATTTTTCTCTTGAGAACAAGGGAAAGTTAAAGTGGGGTCTCAATATTGCCAGTGGGACGATACTGCCGTGTGCCACCAGAGGATCCATCCCAAATTCCCATCCTCACTACAGAGATGCTGCCATACAGGCCACATCAACAAAGTAAGCATGAAAGATCATCTTTCTGCCATCACAGGCTCAAACTACAAGAACTAAAGAATGTTTCAATAAAAAAATACTAATTTCCTGATGCTGTACATCCACTCTTCATCAATTATCTGTGATCCATACTTTGCTTTTTGAATTCAGATCATACAAATGAGGAAATACACTAAGAGTGACCTGCCAAGTCCCTTCAGCAGATGATTTATGAACTGATTTGCTTTAGTTTTCCCTAACTAAGCATTCTTGGGCTGACATTTAGTCACACTTCACTTGGCACTTTTGATCTTCAAGCCCCACAGGGATATTGGTATGGAAATGAAGATACCAAATCTAAATTACATCCGTCTGAGGTTTTTCACTGGGCAGCCTGGTCACTGATGCCAGGCAAGACAAAGAACGCAATAATTTCTTGTGGGAGATTTTTCTGTGCGTGGGATCTAGTGCAGAGGGTTGCATTTCTCTTGTCTCCTGCCCTGAGACCTCCCAATGCTTTTCTGGAAGGTCAATCCACAGCACACTGGGGGCTTGGGTAAGACACCTCTGCTGCAAAAAGTGCCACACAGGCACTGGCTGCATTTCCAAATAACTGATTTTTTGCTTGCTTCATATTTTTAAAATTCACCTCTTTCTTGAGAAACAAATGCTTTTTAGAAATATAAGTATTTTTGCCTAAAACTAAATTTTACAATAAAAAACAACCATACAATAATAAAATCAACTTCCACCACTACCAGTTCAAACCTCTGTTTAAAAGAATGTCCTCTTGCACCTTTGTACTATCCACTTATTTTGACATTTAAAAAGATGAAGCAGAATTGCTACATACTTCTGCTTACTTTTTACACTTTTAAAACTCTTCAGGATCAAAAATCCTTGACTCTTCAAAACCTAACTTCTCTTTTTAAGGCTTAGCTGAACTCCACAAACATCCAGGCATGTATGATGAACTATTTGACCTTCTGAACTGAAAGGATTGTTGCTAAATTGTCACTGGTTCTCACAGAAGATGAGAAATTTCAAGAAAAATAGAAGTCCTTATAAAATCTATGCTGTCAGAAATATATTTTGATAAGTTATACACTGGTAAAAGAGAAGGTGGATTGTCTTGCCTGTTGCTTGGCATCAGCAAAGAATCACATCTGCACAGCCACATTACAAGGGTCAAAGCTATTCACTCTGTGTACTTCCAACTACACTCTTTTTAAAGCATCACACCTTTGATTTTCTGAATTCCCAATCTTAGAGAAACTATGCTGCACAATAAGGTCTATTATTCCTCTGGGTTTGTTTCTTTAAATCTTGTTTATTTGAACACAGAGTTCTCCAAGGTGCTCATCTAAGTAAGGCTGAATGAAGTGATAGATAAGTACCTTTAGCTTTATGATTTCAGGGTTGTACTGTACAGCATCTCCCCACTCCTGCATGAGTGCAGCTGTTGGCAGGTTTTTGTAGGCCAACGTGGTGATGTGTTCACTTGCTCCGCCACGAACCAGGGCAATGAAATCTTCCACATACTTTTTTTTGGAGGTGCTGTCTGCAAAAACACATTCACAAAGTGGCCAGCTCTGCCCAGTTATGTCTTTGTGGACTGCAGTTGAGATACAAGCTAAGAGCAAAACACCCCTGCACAGGATCCATCACAGTCAGAGGGCAAAGGAAAAACGCTACAAGTGCTTCACACCTGGTTTCCTACAAAGTGTGTCCTATGTCCCTCCTGATCCCTTGTAAGAATACTCCATGCTCCTCTTCTGCACCTTATGTCTCTCCCCTAAATTTCTACCCTATGGTTATAAGCTCACAGGTCCATCCACAGCTCCTCACCACCAGGAGTATTGCTTGTTCTCCTCCATGTATTTTCAGGTGCACCCTCCTCCCACTGCACACCCCCAGCTCCCCACATTCCCTGAGGCTCCCACAACACCATTACCTCCCTTTTTAGCCCATCAGAGCTTTTTTGGGTGCAAAAAGGGGCATGCTGGGCTGCTCTGCTGAGAGGTGGGGGATTAGTAACACAGCAACAGCCAGGTGGGTAATGGTTGATCCTTCCCTACTTTTCCTGGGGATGCTGAGCAGATATTTACTCTCCACTCAGTAAAGAAAATCCTGGGAAAAACCCAAGCTTTGAGATATCTCTCCCTCTGTTAAGCCTGGCTGGGGTTAGTCAGCAGACTCAAAAGTGGCTGGGAGGAAGTTGGGAAATATTTCAGGCAGGCAAGATCAAAAAAATCTTCTTTTCATTGTGACAAAGGCTATAAATGAAATGGCAGAAGTGCTTCATGCTTACCTCCAATCTCTTTAAAAATGGATTTACAGCCAGCCGCATTTATTCCAAGCCTCACATAGACCTCATCAATATTTGCACCAATGTTAAAGCCATTCTGGGTGCATTTTTGGACATCGCTCAGAGAATAACCTTAAATGCACAGCAAAAAATTGTAGCGTTTTAATACAACTGTTTGATGTTTTATATTCATATACACAGAAAACAGACCTAAAAAACCCCGGTGAAAACTTACAGCCCAGCTCAGTACTGGGGACAGTGAGAAGATGTTGCTACTGCTGCAGGATCCTGATCTAGGTTGGAAGACACTGATGGGTGGAGCATTTTGATGCAAACAATAATACACATTAGTTCAAGCAAATGTGGCTTGTGATGGGCCCACACCAACAGCTGAAATTGGGAAACAGTGTTAAAATTTGAATATGTGAAATCTGAATCTAAATTCTGTCCCTCGGGGCTCTATCTGACTACAGGATAAGGAACTTCCTCGACAGCAGAGCAAACAGATTGAGCATCACCTACAGCAGAGTCCACTAAATGCCTTTGCAAACAGACAGCGGAGGCAGGTCCTCACTCTCATGCCAATGAATAAATAACTGAGAGTGCAGCTATTGATTAATGTCACATAGCTTGCTCTGTCCTACACAACAATCATCATTTCTTGCAACAAAGGAAGCCAGAGTCAAAGAGCAAGAGCAATGTCAGGCACAAGAGTCATCCAGCAAATTATTTACTGTTTCCTCCATGCCGGAAAAGCTCTCAAGGCTAAAGGTGTTTCAAAACTGCCATTTGAAAGGCAATGGAAAAAGAACTTAGGTGAAGGTTTTCAAAGCTAACAAAAGTGTTAAGATCCATGATTCTCATTCATCTCAACCTCTTGTCAACCTCCAAAACGTGTCATCAAAAACACTTGCTACTGGGCCCTTCTTTGTGAACTGGGAGCACCCACAGCCTGACCACTAGACAAGCCCATGATGCTGAGAATGCTTTGAAAAACTCTTTATTCACTGCCATAAAGCACTTCTACTCCCACATCCTGCAGGACTTTTTTTAGACATTGTTAACTCCTTCTTCCACCATCTCTCTTTTCTCATCTCAGACCTGAGCCATCACTGTGTGCCTGCAGGGGGGTTTTCCCACGAAAAAACTGGTCCCAAAGCTCCTTTGCAACCATCAGATGCACATACCTGCCTTCTGGAGCTCGTCGCTGTTCATGACTAAAGTATATTCGTAGATGCCACCGACAGTGGCCTCAGTGATGTAGTGGGTCCCGTAGTCCCTGTAGAGCTCCCTGTACTCCCCGTAGCTGTACTCTGTCGGGAGCTGGTGAAGCCTCTGCAGGAACTCGTAGTGCAGCATCAGGGCTCGGGGCTTCAGCTTATAAACAGCAACAGCCAGCTCAGAACGGGCATGGATGAATTTGCTGGACTACATGAAATGCAGAAACACAAGAGAACCCAGAAGAAGTGAGAGATGTCATTCTCATGACAGTGTGTGGTTATTTGCTCTTAAACAATTAGCGCTGGTCAGGATTTATCAATTTTACAGTTTGCAACTGGAAATCTTTTAACTTTGCAAAAGCAAAATTTTTAGTGGTAAAGTTTCTGAAAGTCAGGCCACTCTTGGGACACAGGGAAAGGCAGGGTCCAGGCTCTGCTCTGGCATACCCAGGATGCAAGGATGCAGCAGCACCCCACGAGCCTGCTCCACCCATAGTAACACTGACCGGCCTTTGTCTGTCACAAACTCTCTCCTGAAAAGTTCTGACATCTGAAATCATGATTTATATGTGAAATGGTAATTCTCTGGCTAATCCATATTCATATTTCATAGAATATGCTGTTATCAAAACTCAAAGGAAAGAAGACAACACAAGCACTCCCACATACATGCACACATATTTGTATGTCTCTGTGTAGATATGCATACATGGATAAATATTATCTCCCCCATTTCTGGCATAAAAGTCAGGAATAGAAGATTTCTTTCAACATGTTCAAAGGATTAAATGTCTAGTTGTTTGACCCAGCAGGATGAGCACATCAGGGAGGGTTCAATACAGAACTCTGCAGCTTATATAATAAAATAGAGATTTAGGATTGGGTTTCTTTTTGGATATCTATTGCAAATGCTTCTTATATACCTCTGATTTTGTTGTGGGAAATACCACTTTTCAGGAAACAAATGCAAGTTTAATAGCAACAAGGAATACTTTGCCATTCCTGAGTGTACTTTATCCTGAAGGGAGACATAGATCAGTGATACTATTAAACCACTGATAAGAGCTATGTTTGTTTACAGCAATAACAGATGAAACAAAGAAAGCAGATGATGATGCACACTATCTCAGACTCAATCTCATAAAGCAGTCCTAGGAGTTACAGATCTCCAGCCAGCTTAAAGCCAGCCTCAGCTCACAGTTGTGACCAAACCTCCGAAGACGAGACTGGAAGTGATGGTGCCTTTTCTATTTTGTGGGGTGTGTGTCCTGCTCTGATGAATGATGCACGTGGCAGACAGATCACATCAGCCAAAGCAAAATGGCACTGGTTAGTCTATAATTAAACCCACGGAAGGCCTGCTAGCTGTTTTCATTCTATGTTATTGTCAAGGCTGCCCTACAGTGGAACAGCTTGGTCTTGCTGTTTGCATTATCATTTACCAACACAACAGCTCCTGCCTTGCTGAACCCACCTAAAACCAGAGATGGCCCTTCACGTGTGAGGTGATACTCTGCAGGGATCACACAGACAACAGCCACCCGCACCACTGACCAGTGCCTGGACTGCATGTACAGGTGCAGGAATTCCTGGAAGTGCAGAGATCCTATTTGCCCTCCTTTCACCCCAGATATCTCACTTAGTCGCCATCACTCACCAGTAGTTCAAAGGGGAACTCTGGGCTCTGGGGTTCGATAGCTACACCCCAATTCTACCTCTGCAGATTTCCTTGGAGGAGCCACTGTGTTGGCTGCACTCCCAGACTGCTTTGGCATCAGAAGTAAGAACCTCTCATGACCCAGCACCCATGGCCACGTGGGGACTGTCACCTGAACATCTCCAAGTAGCAAGGTGACTGTAAGGAGAGGAGACCATTTGAACAGGCTGCTTAGTTTCACTTTTTTAAATGACTTGACTACAAACATCCAAATGTGGATGCCCAGCAGGGCACTGCACAGACCACACTCAGAATCATAGCATATCCACAGATGGAAGGGACCCAGGAGGCTCACTGAGTCCTCTCAATCATTTGTGGCTGATTCCAGAGGTTAGGCAGCTCAGTTCCTGGCTGAGACGTGAATGGAAAAGCTCCTGGATGCCATAAACACAAATGAAGGCACTGTGGCTGTAGAAAAGACTTGACCAAACGGCAAAATCTGGTGGGGGAAAAGATTTCATTTATCCCAGTCATGGCTGCTGACCTGATGATGAGCATCAAACTGGCACACACACACACTAACAGATAACATGTTACAAGAGAATTAAGTGGAACAATGCTTACAGTTGAAGAAAATCTTTTCATCCTCTGAATGAACTTCTTGAACCTGTTGTCGTTTGAACTGTAACCGAGCTCAAACAGTCCTGGTATTTTTATACCAAAGCTGAAGCTTGACTGTGAAGCCTTTGCCTTCAGGACATTGCTTTCATAATTTGAGTAGGAGTCATATTCAGTCATTGTAAATTCATATTTGCCTTTGGTCTAAACAGAAAGGAAAAACAACATGTCTCATTTCCTGCATAGTGATTGTATACCTGAAGCATGAGGAAGGAATGCAGATACAAATATACTTGTGAATTAATGCTTGCACTTTGAAGATGAAAAGCGTTGTATAATTGCAAAGCACTATTATTATTAACACAGATACTTCAAGAATACTTGATTTACAGCAGCAGGAAAGCTACTATCTGCTCCATACTGCAAGGTCCTCAGGCTTTCACTTAATATGTCAATCTTATGCAAAGAAGGTGAAGTCTTAAACACAGGCACCAATTAAAGTATGAATTCTAAAAGGAAAAGGTTTCCTAGTGGGCAACACTCAAAAATATCATGCTATGTCATCAAAAGCATTAAGGTCAAATATATAATATTTGAAATATAGCTTTGATGCACCACAGATACAACCTTTCATACAAAGCACATGGGGTGCTGCTCAACCTTCAGCTGTTGCGCAAGGGCAACTTTCCCAGCCTGGCTCTTAAGGCACTCCACAATTCTGTCTAAAATTAACCTCCCCATGCCCACTGGGTACCTTTTGGGGCCTCTTGGACACTTCTTGGCACTGGGAAGGAAAGGCTCAGCTTTTGCAATGATAAGATCCAAGGGAACACTGTCACCTATTCCAGTGCACATGGATATTATAAGGGGCTGTGTTCAGCATCATGGACTATGTTGAGTATGATCATGTTCTACAATAGGGTTAAATTCACTCTGATCCTATTGGGTGTCAAGAATTTTTTGTAATCTTTTATAAAATGATCTGGTAATGAAGCTTTGTTGGTTTTGTGCACTAAACCTCTTGGAATATATGTATGTGTGTTTATTTGCAGATAAATCTGAGACATACCTCTGGTGTATAGCTTTCTACATTGTATGGCTTTCTGAATCTTGTGTCCATGATATAATGGGAAGAACATCCCCCAGCATAGTACCTGTGATCAAGAACTAATCCTTCCAAGTTGTTTGTGAAAATATTTAACCTGTAGATGAAGCATAGCAGCAAATTTTACAATATCATCAATTTAAAGGTAAACACTAAATGCCTTGGCTGAGAAAGGCAAAAGATTGCTTTGTTTGGCTGAGGACTTTTTGTTTCGCACTTCTTTATTTTGAAACCCAAAAGAAAGTTTTGCCTCTTTCACAGTCCAACCAACCCAGCTGCTGCAGAAGAACCTAACTAACATGGAAGCAAAAGGCAGAGTCAAATTTTGACACTTGATAAATATGAAGGGCAATTTTCAGCACCCAGCTATGAATGACACCAGTGTTACTGCCACCAGCACTGGTAGCTTTTGTAGTCTTTGCTGGAACTCTCAGGGACGAGCAGAACAAACCCTCACCAGCCAAATCCTCACCCTGTCAGGCTGCCCACGCTGAGCATCACCAAATGCTCACTGCATCCAGCAGGAAATTTAAAGACAGGTTTGCCAACCCACGTCATTAATCCAGACCAATTTTTAATTCACGTTTCTTTGTTCTGGTTTATCAGTCATGATCTTTGCCAGGTTGGTCAAGGATCAACCAGAGGTCAGTAGAAGAGAGAAAAAATTGTCAGGGTACAAGAATAAAGGTAGTCAAGGAATTGTTCAACTAATCCTTGAAATTATGGGAATATTTTTTTTTTATTTCATTGGATGATGGAGAGAAATCTGCTCTAAGAAAAGATGTAGCACTGCAATCTTTTTAGATGAGGAGATAAAACTCCATAACATGTTCTTCCTATTGCTGCTGGTGGGATGTATTGCAGTAAAAACCCTTCTGTTGCTCACTGTCAGGACACACACCACCCTCATGGCACACAGCTGAGGGTGTGGCACTCACTTCCACAAACTCAAATGGTTATAAGTGTAAATAGATAAAACTTCACCAAAAAAAAGAGGATAAATTGCTGGTAGTCCATGCGTGTCCCCATTAGCGTTCCAGGACTCTGTTGGACCTGCCTCTCCTTATTTTGGGGAGAGAGGCTTGCATGATAATGACTCTGAGGCTGTAAAAAATTAACTCTAATTTTAGAACAATCTGAAAAGATGGGAAGTCCACTAAAAGCAAATTACTGAGCAACTGTAGCTTCAAAGAGATGAGAAGCATGTTCCTATAATAGTCCAACATTATTTTTAATTTTGATTAAACTCAGAAGTACAAAGCATTAGCAATGACATGTGCAGCAGCCATATCTCCAGAGAATAACGAGGAAATTATAACTTTTTCCTTGCAATAGGAGTTTTTCTTTTCCGTTTTTTTTTTAATGTAAAAAGCATTTTTTCCCTGCAGAATGAGAAAAAACTCTTTTCACACAGTCTGATCTTACAGAAAGTTGTTGCAGTCTTATCTTGTAAAAGCTGGATCAATTCAGACTTGGATTTTAATCCCCACAAAGCTGGAGTTTGCTAAGATGCATGTTAACCCTACTCCAGTCAAGCAAAGCCCATAAATTCCTCCATCTCTCACTGTTGTGAAAGAAATCAAAGAAATTTTGAACTCCCTCTTCCTCCTCCAAATCAATACATGGTGTAAAGATACAAACTCATAGTAAGGTTCATATTTTAGGCAATCCAAGATACTGATTTCATGGAATCATGGAATGGCTTGAGTTGAGGGACCTTTAAGGCCATCTAGTCCAACTCCTCTGCCATGGAAAGGAACACCTTCCACTGGACCAGGTTGCTCCAAGCCCCATCCATCCTTGAACACTTCCAGGGATGGGGCAGCCATATCATCTCTGGGCAGCCTGTGGCAGGGCCTCACCAGGGAAGAATTTCCCCTCACAGGGAAGAATTTCTCCCTAATCTCTGATCTTAACCTACTCTCTGTCAGTTTGAATCCATTCCCCCTTGTCCTGTCACTCCATGCCTTTGTAAATAGTCTCTCTCCATCTTTCTTGTAGCTCTTTCAGATACTGGAAGGGCACAGTTAGGTGACACCAGAGTCTTCTCTTTTCCAGGATGAACAATCCCAATACTCTCAGCCTTTTCTCATAGAAGGGGTGCTCCATTCCTCTAATCACCTTGGTGACCATCCTCTAGACTCACTCCAACAGGCTGATGTCCACAAGACTTTGGATGAGGTTCCCAAAGGTTGCTGGATCCTAACTCACTTCTGGATACAACAATTGCTAGAGCTTTTCTCTGGTCAGTGTTTATGTCTGAAGCCACATAAGATCATTCCTAGCCTTAAGTAAGAAAACATTTCATGCAAGTCACTGACTTACCCTTTTGCCAGATTCTCTATTCCCCAGTATTGTTCCATCTTCTGGTCACACTTTTTAAACACCTTTTTGCAGTTTTTTTCATCTGACTGGTCCCCACAGTCATCGTCCCCATTGCAGAGTAGCCTCCGTGTAATGCATCTCCCTAGGACACAAGGTGTAAGACCCACATAAAATAACCTATGATCATACTCTCTGACTCAGTCTAGAAACAAAATAAAAGATTCCTGTAATGAATGGTTCAAATCTAGTTGGAAAAAAAATCTTCATCTGTATGGATCACCAAACTCTTAACTGCTCAGTTTTGCTCAAAACTCTCCTAATCTTAAAATTCATTGCTCAACCTAGAAAGAATGTCAAGGATGCCCCAGTGCATGTTCTCCTGTTGCTGTCACTTGTGCTATAGATTTTACTGATATAAGTGGGTTTTAATTTCCTATTTGAAGATGTAAAAACATGCTTTAGACTGACAGATGTTGGCTAATGGACTCACTCAAAACCACTGATGCAAACACAACCATGGATGGAGCCGGGTCAACTCCCGACATCCCTTTGGCCCAGCAAACCCTTGTAAAAGCAGAAAGTTCAGCAGAGTGGTGTCAGAGATGCCACCTGAGCACCTCCACTTCCCACTTCCCACTCCACAAGTCCTTACCTGTGACTGAGCACACAAACCCATCACATCTAACTTTATTCCTGCAAGGACTATTTGTAACACAGTCTTCGGTTTCTCTGTCAGAGTGATCACAGGGATCTCCATTGAACTGAGAGGGTTGTTCCAGGCGGGCAAATCTGTACTGTGATGAAATAAAAAATATTGACTCAAGTGTACAGAAATTGTGAATTTTACGCTTCTCTAGTTAAAAAACAATCTTTGTGGTGTGGAAAACTGATCTAAGGGTACTGTCATATCAAAAAAAAAAAGTGTCAGCAAAGAAAGTGTGATGTTAATAATGTGCCTACTTTCAAAGGTTTCTGATCTGCGACAGTTTTAATTTTATTAAGGAAAGATTGAGGACTGGAAGGGATGAAGGAAAGTTTGCTTTTCTTTGACAGTTGCTTTAAATGAGCCTGACAGGGTAGCGCAGGACTTTGCAAGAGTAAGGAAGGATTCAGTTCCATCTCCTCTCTTTCAATTAGCACTGGTAACGACATCCCTTGTTATTTTCTGTCAGTGTATTTACTTGCCCCTCTGTATCATTAGGGATTTTTTTCCGCCCACAACACTGCTGTGAAGCAGTCAATTACTCCATCCAATATGTTAGCCCTCCTTTTTTCCCCAGCTTCTAAGATTAACTCTTTGATACGAAGCTTCACTCTTCCCAACTCCCATCACTGGTTATTTCTGCTTAAGCCTGGGAACAGCTTCTCCAACTCATTAGCAGAGGTCTTTCTAGCAAGGGGGATTTTGCTCTTCATGCTATTGGGATCATTACTTTCATTTGATGGGGCTTCTCGGGTGGAAAATGCTGGCTGGCAGACAAGAAAAAGCATCTTAATCCTGAGATGCACCAAGTGTCTCCAGGTCCCAGAGGGGACTATTAGTGCCTTGCACTAATGCTGGAAGAAAATGACTGTATTGGAAAGTCCCTGCAAAAGCCCCAGTTTTTACCAAGCCTGGGTTTACACCTTCTCAGGACAGAGAGGCACCCTGGAAAGTACTGGAATTACTGGGGTTGGTGAGCTGAAGAGCCAAAAGCCACCTGAAAGCAAAAGCCCACAGTCTCACCCTTACAGGACTTTCCTCAGCAGCCTCCTGTACGCCCAACCCCACAGATGATAAAGACAAGGCTCAGAGGAGATTCTGCCTCCTGGTTTCTCAGGCTTCATGCCTAGACCACAAACACTCACCCTTTTCTTCTGGCAGGGATCACACTTGCTCCATGAGGACCAGGCGGAGAGCATGCAGTCGCGGGGCTGTGGCAGGTCACTCACGGATCGGACGTGCCTGCTGTTGGCCACGCTCTCATTGGTGCCACTGAGGTTAAGGGACTCTTCACCACTGTGCTCAACAACACGAGAGCTTCAAGGTGTGAAACTACCAATCTATAAGGAGCAACTTGACCTATACCTGTGCAAAACTACACACCAAAGAGAACTAACACTCGTTAGACCCCATCAAGTTTTGTGGGCAACATCTAGATTTCAGTTCCCATTCTGTATGAAACCTGACTCCCTCTTCAATGTCCAAGAGCAGACCCAGTCCTCTATACCATCACCATGAGAATAACCCTGCAGAGCATTCAGGAGGGGTGACTGCAGGACACATATTTGATCTAGCCAGCAGAGGAAACTCAACCCATGACCCTGCAACCTGAGCTTCACCTCAAGCTGTGCAAGCCCTATCAAATTACCTGGCCAAAATCTGCATCATCAGTTGCTGCCCTTGCCCCACAGCTCCCTGTTGCTTGGTGCATGGGCAGCACTTTGGTACCTCACTGCCATACATGATAAACAGCTCTGAGGTGAGGCACCTCTGTGACAAACACCAGTCCCAATGATAAGGGCTGGTGGGCACTCAGCATTTTTGAAAACCAGGCTTAAGTGTCTCTCTTTACCGAGCAGCCTATTTTTTCCCAAGCTGGCCAAAGCCATTAGTCTTAGACTCTGTTCTCAGTTTACAATAGGGAGTAATTAACCCATTAATCCCTTTCAACCCCATAATGAACCTGAACCCCAAGTGTTAGCCTTTACTTCACCCCAGCCACTATCTTCCCCCTCATGAGATGACTGTCTCCAAGGTTTCCACAATGCCAGAGCTAAAATGGAAAGACTACAGTCACAGTTCTCTGAAGGAGCAAAATGTATTAAAGCACCAGCGAAACGAACAGCTATCAGCCACATTCTCACTATTTACACATTCCGAGAAAACAAACTCCTGTCTCCCCAGCACTCTGTTGGGCAGCTAGCATGGGAGAAGGCTGCACGTTGCAAACAATTCCCTGTTACAACACGATTGTGGCAATTTGTCATCTCAAATTTATCAAGAGGATTACTTTTCTGAAGGCAGACACATTGCACTGTGTTGACTTCAAAACAATGTCTCTCGCTATTCATTAGAAATACAGAAATCGCTCAAGACAGCAATTACGGACCACACAACACGAAAGCAGAGAGGTTGTGCTGATCTGACTGTTTATCTTATCATCCCATGGACGTGGCTTCAGAAACAGTCACTCACCGAAAGCAATGAGCAGTTTGGATGCCAAGTACAGCACAAAGCAGCAACAGTTTGACAGGGTACAGGGTGAACGTGGTGCGTGTTGCGCTCATCACTCCCAGGTACCATCAGCGACTCGAAACCACCACTGTTCCCATTCCATCTGCTAGTGGGGGTTTGAAAATGGTTCAAGTAGTAGAAGATAAATTACTGAGGCTTTTTCCCCACCCTGTAAACAGCAGATGACCCAGCACCTGGCAGGTTCACAAGGTAAACGTTGCAGTTGTTAGCACACGGCTTTCCGCAGGCAAGCAGGGAGGAAGCAAAGATCTGTCTGGAAGCAATTTACTCTTTCATTTGTAATGCTCCTTTCAAGGGATGGGGAAAATGAATATTTCAACAAATGAAACATATTTGAGTCTTGGCAAGAAGGAAGTGATAAGTAAACTCAAGTCGGCTTTCTAGGAATAGAGTGCAAAATCATTTATTTATTGCTGCTTTTCATGTCTGTCTTCCAGAGGAAGGCCAGACATGAGGCATAAGCACTCATTCTTACGCCTCAGGGAAAGCCTTCATCCCGAGAGTGCCCTTTGCTGTCTCTCAGCAGGGCTTGGGCTCGTGGTGCTGGGGAAGACAAGAGCCCCAGCTCTGGCTGGGCCATTCCATATAGATTCTCTGCTCCATGTACCTGTTGAGCCCATGGAAGCCTGTCAGGTATTAAATTAAATGATTTGGTGTTTTCTAGGTACTATGTTGAGTCATTCTCTCTCTTAAATGATCCCACCAGGCTGAGAACTTACCACAGGCTGATTCCCATCAGTTCAGCTGGGCTTTCAAAAGCAGATCAGGACCTTCAAAACCTTGCAGAATGTCTCTTTAGTTACTTGTTGAGGCAGCCTTCATATCCTGCCACTTCTCCCTTCTTTTCGATTCCTGGGACACAATAGTCTTTCCCTTCATTTTCCTAATTAGTCTTAACCTACAATGAGCATCTTAGATGGAGAAAAGTTCTCTGAATCTGTGTTTCCCTGTACAAAATGAGGAATATCATTGTGTTTTCCCACCCTTCCTCTTGGTGGACAAGCAGAGGTTCTTCGAAGAAGACACAGCCTCACTCTGTATGCAACTATGGCTTTTAGCAGCACAGTCTCTCAATGTGGGATAAATCTCTGAGTGCTTTGATGATACAAAGAATAAATACATTTTAATTTTCTCATTATGGGAATGATGGATGCTATATATAAAATGAATCATATTCACTAATACAAAACAAATCTGACAAACTCAGTGCTGTTACCTGGCCAAATGCTACACCCTAATGTGTCACAGTCACCTTACAAATGACATTATTCTGCCTGTGAAGCCATGTCTCTGCAAAATAAGCAACCGGCTGCGACATCTTTCTGGTTTGGCAGCTTGATGATAACAATTTAACACAGAGAAGCACATTAACCGAATCCTTGTAGGAATCTGCTCCAAATAAAAGATTGTATTTCAGGCAGCCCATTTTTTAACCCAGAGTTACTGAGCACACAGTTAGTGATTAACAGCCCTCTAGACATGGAGGACAAACTGTTAGAGAAGATGACTTAGGCTGTGCAAAGCTTTCTGTTTGCCTCTTTTGCCTCATTTTTTTATTTCAAATGACTTTGCCCCAGCCTGAACCCAAGATGTGCCTGTGTGATACAGCTTGCTCAACCTTTGACACAATTGATTCAGTTAATCATTTGTCCATAACAAAAAAAAACCCAAAAAACAAACTAACAGAAAAGACCTTTCCATCCATGGGACTTTTGCTGGCTGGGAAATACAGTACACAACCAATATTTCAACATCAGCAAAAGATTACTAAGATTATACATATATAGAGCACCCTCTAGATTTAACTGCAAACCATGACAGTGATCCTGGCATGTGGAATTCTCCAAGCAATCTGCTTCTGTCTGCTGCTTGTCTTTGTTTGCTGCTTCTCACTGTGCACATCTCAGTGGTGAACATGCAGAAGGAAGTGGTGCATTAGCAGAAGGAAGTGAGCTTAAAACAGCAGCAGGGACCCAGGAGAAGGAATTCCCTACACATTAACATACTTTTCAGAGAGAACTGAAAAGCACAGTCAAGTTCTACACATAGTTTACAATCTGGTTGAATTAGAGGTAGATCTAACACATAAAGTTTATGACAACAACCACAGCTCATTTTCTGCTTCCTTGGGTCCATGGATCAGCGGGAATGTTACCCTGTAACAGTGTCCTCTTCCCCCAGTCTTGCTGCTCCTCCGTGGTTGACTGTAATAGTTATGTCTGTCTGCTGAGCTGTTTGTAAGTCCCAAAGCACTTAGTGCTAACAACGCTGTAAGTCACTGAATGTTGCTTTCATCACAGTTGAAAATGAAGCCTTGCTTGTGCCCACTATGAACATCAAGCTTGCAAGTGCAACACATCCTTTGCAGAGTTCATAACCCCAACTCAAGCTTGTGACCCCTTGCTCTCTGTAAACAAAACCCATACAGTTTCACCAAACATGATGTTTTTTTAAAATGGCAGTTTCCTGTTCAAAGAAAAACTGTGAAACACATCAGAGGTGAGAGACCCTCCCTGGGAAACGTCAGACTGGAGCCAGCAAGCAGCTGTTTACAGTACCACTAGTCACTTTTCAAAGAGAGTTTCTTTTTCTCCTTCTCTGAGGCAACTTTTTTATTCCCTGCTTTGGAACTCGGAACACATTTCCTTCTGCAGAAGAACACAACTGGCTCATTCAAGGGTAAGAGGAAGCTTTCCACCAACTTTAATGGTGAAGAATGTAAGATGGCAAATACATGGTAAAATTTAAAACTAAAGAATGTTTTCAAATGTTTTCTACAACTGACTCTATTGCATCACACTTTTTCTTAATAATACAGTTATTTTCTGGTGCTGAGGTTGGTCTCTGAAAGGCCCTGGACATAAAAACTCACCTTGATGAGCTTTATTCTCCTCTTCTGGCTTTTGATTCACTAAAAATAATGCCTCATAGGGACTCAGGCCAAATCTGGCACAGGTTCACCTACTCTGAAAGCTCTAAGGTCTTGTGAAGATGGTAAGACAGGGAACTGAGTATACAAAGAAAGATAACCTCACGATGCCCCATCCCTTGTCTCCATCTCCTCTCCATTAGACCTCAAGATAACACACACACAAACTCATTTTCAAACTAGAAACAGCATTTTTAAAAGAAAAAAACAAGACACTCGTAATCTGAGTATGTCAAATAGTACAAAATTTACAAAAAATGCAACATATCACAGCATTGTAACTTCTGCTGATTTCAAATACAGCTGGCTTCTGCAACTGAGAGCCGTTCTTAGACCTCTAATGACTGTTAAAGAAGACAAAGATGCCAGAAAAGGCTTTTTCACAGCTAGTACCTGGCAATAATTCTTCCTAATCCTTTATTTTCACAAATGTCTGAGGCTGAATGGACAATGATTGCTGCCTGTTAACCTGATTTTCTTTTAATCTATTGTGATTTCCTTTCTTTGCTGGTGAGAAGTATTGATAGAAGTGGTGCTACAGGAGCAATGAAATAGGGCTGAAAAGCCAGCAAACAGTATCAGATCTTAAAAGACCTTTTTTTAAAAAATACATTCTGTATCTGAAAGCCCCTTGAATGGGCAACATCTGAGGCTATTCTTCTCATTGAGATTTTTCAGGTGCTGATAAAACATTTTAGGGTGATAGATGAGCCACAGGGCAAACACATCCATTGAGATAAGACTATTTAAAGCTCTAAAAACTAATAGCCAGAGAGCTGTTTCACTAATAGACCTGATATTTCCTGCCTCCAGTAGAATAATTTTAGAAAGAGACAGGCAATGTCACAGGTACTCAGGAAATCATATCAGGGTATCTCCCCATATTCCTCACTGTCATGCTGAAATGTATAATTCAGTTTCCCCACACTTTCAGACAGCAAGAAAAAACCAGCCCTTTATTCTTCCCCATGCCAGCTTTACCTCAGGTATTTAAAAACAACAAAATAAAGGTTTTGAATTGGGCTGATCCTAAAAACCAAATCAGTATAAGACCTTGTCACAAGAGAGTCGACTGAAACACTCTTAAAAATCATAACTTTTGCAGTAGTATCATCAGAGTACAGCCAGGAACAGGAGATGAGTCCCACTGATGGCACATAACAGGAGCAGAACTAGAAGCCAGGAGCAGTGTTTCCATTTTCTGGTGGTCATGTGGACTTTCCCTTTGTTCATTCACCACTGTGTGCATTCCACACTGGCTTAGAGAGGTAATTGTAGAGAACGGACTCAAATCTCTGTAGAAAACTGCCAACAGATATCCCCTTTCATTTCTTTGACGTGATACTCTTCTGACTGAGAAGAGCATTTGCCAGAAAAGTAAAAAATATGAACTTGACAGGAGTTCTTTAGAAAGCAAAGAAAAGAAAAAAGGAAACGTTGCATGAAAAACATATCACAACCTACAAACAGCCAGAAAGAGGTTAACTTCCCTGCTGCAGCAACTGTCACTGACTAGTGATTAAAGCACATAAAACATTGCCTTTAATCCAACTTAAGGGAGTTAAAATTGCATATTCCCAGTCTATACAATCAATTGCTTTCCCAGAAGTCACTGACAGGGAAAAGAGAGATCTGTCAGCGTTCTCACTTCTGTAAAACCGCAGGCTGATTCTGCAAACTGTTTGCTAAATAAATTCTCATTACTGCAGGAGATCATGGCCTTAATTAGCATTAGTTAAATTGGGACCATTTCTTGAACTAAGCATGTCTGAGTTGGATACTCTCATATACAATCTACAGACTCCTAGTGTGCTTAAGTTACAGCAGTATTAATGTAATACAGTACACAAACACAGCACAGAAAGAATCAGACTTTTTTCCCCTTCTGAACAATGCCAACACACAGCCAGGTCTTTCCTACTTTAAGATTCCTCACCACTGCCAGATTAGATCTCAAACCTGCTCCTTCTGAATTTTTAAACCGAGTTTACATAGCAACTGTGCAACATAAGCCAACTTTTCTGATTTTTCAACCATCTTCACAGTGAGAGTACCAAAAGAATATCAACAAGAGTAGATTTGGCCTGTATTGTAAAAATGCATTTTCATTTAAATACACGCTTAGCTATGTCTTTTTTCACTGTAAGTTAATTATTTGTAGCTTATTGAGAACCAGAGATCATGTTCTTCCTCCCAAGGACATCTGAACACAGTTAGCCCACATA